CGGTATGTGGATGACACCTTCGTCGTCATCGAACGGGATCAGATGCTCACATTTAAAGAACGTCTTAACAGCGTCTTCTCGGACATCCAATTCACGAAGGAGGAGGAAGAGAACAACCAGCTGGCCTTCCTTGACCTTCTCGTCTGTCGCAAAGGTTGTGGTGGAATATTACTGGGAGATAATAATGATAACTTCGCGAAACGAGAAGCTGTCTTAGTAGATAGTGAAAAGCTCTCAAAATCCTAGAAGGACAAAGATCGGACAGAGGCCTTCGAGGTTCAATGGAATACAATTATCAGAGACCGCCTCAAGGAAGTTGTTTAGTCTGAGAAAGAGCATGAAAGAATAAAACCTGTAGGCACAACGATACCCAGAAAGTATATATTTCCGAAAATTCCCAAACAGGGCTATCCCTGTGTACAATCTTGCATATGAGAAACTCCCTTATCACATCATCGCCAAATGGCTGGCGGACGAAGCTGAAGCCTCTTGGATATAACTTGATAACCCACAATATGCCTTATTTTGAACAACGACCATCACTTTAGTGTTGTGAGAATTTGGGGGATGCAATGCGGGCTACGTTCATTAGTTTCTCGCAGCGAGTTCTTGGTACCTATAATGGAATTTTTGAAGACGTTATAATGTTGAGCCAGACAGCGGCATTCAAACGGAAATCACACGCATATTAACCAAAAAGAGGTAACCTGTTATACACAGTTTTTTTATAAAGCTTTGGAAAAAATATCAGAGGTATACTGCGGACGTTCTTAATGCTCGATAATGTGGTTTGCTGTTTTGAGGCGTTTCTAAATTTGACCCGAATTACCATCTTCATGAGTATTTATATTCAAAAAATCATTTTTCGGTAAATGATCTTTATGTTTATCTTACCTTAAAGGTTTTAAAGGCAAACGTCAAATGAAATCTCGATTGATGAAGAAACACATGAGGACACTGAAATCACTCGAAAATATGCCTGAATTTAAGGGACGATATTAAATATATAATTATGCATTAATAGTTATATGTATATAAATGTTCACTTGTGAAAATTTATACAGTAGTCGCCGACTATTAAGCCCACGATTAATAAGCCCAGCCGCGTATTAAGCCCACGTCAGCTTGGGACGGAATTTTA